TACCTCACTAAGCATACAGGTAGACTTTATGAAGTCTGTTCGAAACTGTCTATACAATGATGACACAGTGTCCAGTTCCGGTGGCGAACATATAATTCATCCTCGAAACAGGTATGCTATGATTGTGTAGAGCCAAAGTTGTTGCACAACGATCGTTTGTTTGTGATTTTTCCAGGTATCCAATCTATCGTACTGCTGGTTTAAAAACGGTTCTACGTTTCGCTAACAACGATTTCAGACTCGTGTTGTCAAGTTACGTGAATCTAGTGTGATTGGTCGGTTCCATTCTTCTGAATGCATATCTTATTTGAGACCTAGTCACAGTTCATGAGCAGTATTGATAGATGAGACAAGGCAGACAATTAGGTATAACATCGGTTTAATGATCCACCATATCCAGTTCAGACCACATGATCGATTATCATATGTCTAGTCTAAATTTGTTTAGTATACATAGATACAACATATGTATATACGGTGACAAATGTCAAAGTTAAACTACGTACTACGATGTTTAAACTATTTTAATGGCTTGGCTGCTTACCAAGGAAACAGGTATTTTCTAAACGTACAGTGTTTTGTTTTATGACGAAATAAGGATTTTCTGGCTAACATTTTTTTCTTGATGTGGTCATGAAAATGTATCTGAATTTTTGAAGCTGTAAAAAAGTGTTTGTGAAATTAAATAACAATTTAAAGTACTACACACTTTTGTATGTAGATTTTTTCAGTAATTTCAAACCCTGCACATTCTAAAGTAGCAATATGTAACAATATATATTAAAGCGTAAAACACAGGAAATATACAAGTAAATATTAATGCCTATTTCCCCATATATAATACATTAATAAATGAACTAAATATAATTTACTAAAATAACTTCAGTTATTGTTTAAGTTCATAAAAGATAGTTTACTGAACTCGAAAAACTTTAGTTTACGATTCTGTAGACTCTAGGTTAGATAACCAAAACTATCTATGGAAATAACTTCAGTTATTGTTTAAGTTCATATTCGAGTTCAGTAAACTATCTTTAATCTTTAGTTTACAATTCTGTGCACTCTAGGTTAGATAACCGAAACTATCTATGGAAATAATGAGGTTATTGTTTAAGTTCATATTCGAGTTCAGTAAACTATCTTTAATCTTTAGTTTACGATTCTGTGCACTCTAGGTTAGATAACCGAAACTATCTATGGAAATAGAGGGGCTATTGTTTTTGCTTTTTATGCAAATAATGCCCGAAACTCCTATGTGGCTTACTTGTCATTTATATAACTAATTATTTAGTAGTCTGTGTGGCTTTACATGTACCACAAGTATACTTACAGTTAATTCATAAACGCAAAGGTCGAGGTAGGTATTTCGAAACATACTGTGAACCCAGCCTTGATTATTTTTCAAATTTCACTTCTCACAAGAGTGCTTTGTTTGTCCGGAAAAGGAGTGGCAAACCTAAAAGAATGTTTTGAACCAGTGTACTGTTTCTTAGCAGGAGCGGTTAGAAAATTATGTAGTATTCTTTCTATAGAATATAAAGATTCTCAAGATGTTTTAAAAGAAGATATTTTCTGACTCGGACATAAATTATAAGCTATATTAAAGAAGTTTAGAACGTGGTTACATTTGAAAAATCTTTATATAATGTTGACGTATGACTAGC